GTGTCTGCTGTACCCGTGATCCCTATTCCCAAGTCGATGCACACACCCACACCTAGGAATATTGCCTTTTTAAACATTTATGCACACATTTATTTGAAAGACAGAGAGGGGGAGACCATCCATTCACTGGTTCACTCGCCCACATACCTCTAACAGCTGATGCTAGGCTAAGCTTAGCCCATGACACCGTAGCACCAGCCCCTATCATTCTACCTTTCAAATGAATAAATAAAATCCCATCGTTTTGAATACTTTCAAAAGATTTATTTAGTTAAACCATTTGTTTAATGGCTGTCTTCCCTCACCCTATGATGTGAAAGCAAACGGACAATTACGATGAAAGCAACATTGGCAGAGCCTTGCCAAATGCAGCCAGGAAGCCATTAGAAAGCGGGGCACATGTTTGATGCCAGCTGCCACCTGGATGAGCGCTTCAGCCACCTTCACCCTGTGGCCACAGCGGCTGGAATGCAGGAGAGTGGCTTTGTGCCCAGAAGTTCAAGATACACATTCGGAATACCGAGACGCTTGTTGGACGGACGTTGTGACGCTGCTTACATATGATTGCCTTTGCCTTCTCTCTGGCATGTAGCATTCAGAAACCCATACGCTCTGCCTTTTCCTGCCTTCCCTGGAACACTGAGATGCTTGAAGCCATGTCATCCAAACTGCAATTCCTACGACCCCAAATAAAGCCCCCTTCACCTTTTCAGCAGTTTGAGTTGTCAGGGACTGATAGTTATAATCCCATGAGGACAGAGATGGTGTGGTTTTCCACTGTCAGTCGTCCCCAGCACTTCGACAGCAGTCACCTCTCCCCCAACCCTGCCAAGTGTCACTTTCCCTGTGTGCTGCTCCCATGTGCCCCGTGTGCCCAACAACCTCTGCCAGACCCCTCCCCAGCACTCGTCTCTCGGCAAGCTCTCGGATCCCTAACTGACCCCACTTTGAACCTTGAGTTTGGAGTGGTAAAGGAAGGCTTGGCTGCTTCTCTGCCGTGTTCTTCCTGCATTGCACCTAAGTTTACAAATGCGATTATTAATCATCCATGCACGGCCCTCTGCTGTCTCAACCATTTCAGTGATGTTTATTTGATTTGGGGATGAGAAAGGATTTTCTAAGCAAAAAAAAAAAAAAAAGCAATGGACCAAGGGAAAGAAAATCAATGCATTTGACTATACCCAATTTAAAACTTCTGAATGTTGGGAACCACTCTAAACAAAGCTAAATAGGAATGTGACAAGAGCAGGAAGAATGCATGTAATAAGTGGGACCAAAATTTTGTCACTTTCAATGTAATAAAGAGTTCATATGAACTGATAAAATACTGAAGCCCCAGGAGAAAAACAGAAGAGGGCAAAAAGACACATGAAATAAACTCATTGAAAAGTGCTCAGCTGCACTGGTGGCCAGGGCGACATAAACCAACACAATGCCAAGTCATTGCTCACCCGATCAGGACAGCAACAAAGGCTGGCGAGGGCGCAGCGGTCATCGGCCGGTTGCTTGAGAAAAAAAAAATTAAAAAGCCCTTTTGATTTTCAATAACGTCTACCCTCCTAGTAGACAAGCTCAGGCCTTTGCAAGGAAATGAGATTCTCCAGGGCTACCAGCACTCTCCCACCCTGCACCCTGTCTGACACTGGCAGCATAGGCCCAGCTGCAGTGTCCCAAGCGTGGTGTGGCACGTAGCCTCTGCTGCTGCAGTGCCATAATAGTTTGGGTGGGGACTGTCCCCCAGAGGCATGCACAAAGGAGTTGATCTCCCAGGGTAGAGCTCCTTGGGTTCCTGGGAGACATGCCCTTGAGAGGGGGTTCTCACAAGAGAAGGTTGTTAGCAAAGCATAAACAGAGCCCAACACAAATTTGTTTTCTGCAGGGCTGTGTGGTCGCACCTTCCTCTGCCATGCTCTGCCAGCCTGGCCAGATGAGCCACGCAGTCTTGGATTTTTGAACCTCCAGGGAGCTAAAATCAACCTTTTGTCTTCATAAAGTTACTCACCTCAGGTTCTTGGTTGTAGATCTTAAGTGATACGTCTGCACACACTGCCCATCCTAAATCCTCTTATTCTCAGCTGGAAGGCCCTACCCAGCCCTCTTCTGACACTGGCATCTCCTTGACAGTTCTTGGGAGCTGGCTTTGGTGGCCCTCTCCCGGCCCTTGCCCTTATCCCACAGACCTGAAAATGACTCTTACTGGGCTTCTGTCCACCCTGGTTATATCTGCCTCAGGAGAGGCGCTGTATGCTCATTCATCCCTGGGCCTAATCCAGCAAGATGCTCAGCCGATGATACTTGAACTAACCAGTCATGTCACATGTTAATTTTCCCATTGGGCACCATACATTTTCGCCACTATTCTGGTCAATGTTTTACTTAAAGGAGATGAAATGAGCTCATTTTGGATGAAAAGAAAACCTCTCCGCCATGCCCCGGCCCTCATTTTTGGACCCGTGTTCTCTCATCCTGTGGGTTATAATCAATTAGGGAGCTATGGAACAAATGTATGGGTCACGGCCTCTTGTTGCATGAGAAGCATTAGAAGAGAGCAGAAGGGCCCTGTGTGCACGCTCCTCCGCGGCGGGGACAGCCGTAGCCCCTGCAGCCAGCCGCAGGGAGCGGTGAGCTCAAGCGCAGGTTTGTAGAGCTGACACTCCTCGGATTCTCACGAACGGGGAAGACCTGGAATGTTACTGCTCTCTCTCTCTCTCTGGGCTTCAGACTCATAAACTGGAAGATGACAATGATTAAAATATCGATAGGATGACACAGGAAGGGCTGTTTCTTCTTCAGATCTCTCCAGTGCGTCTCAGCAGGTCTGGCATGGAGACGTTGTGGGTAGCTCTCAGAAGCAGCCCCTGTGCTCAGGTATCCCCCGGCCTGGGGCCTGGCCCCTGCTTCCCCAGTCCCAGCAAGTGGCCCAGCTGGCCTCCAGTCCCAGCGTGGTGTCTACAGCTCCTCCGGCTGGCAGGCTGGCAGCGGGGTGCATTCACACTCAGCTGCATCATGCGTGCTGCCACATTTCCCAAGCGAGCCCCATTTCCCTGTGTGCCCAGAGCAATCCTGAAGTCTCCCACGGGTTATCGGCTCCTCCACGGGCTCTCCCCAGTCTGCCCTCTCCCTGCTCTGGCCCCCAGGACCCTCTCACCACAGCCCACGGTCGTGACCTTGCTTACATCAGCTGCTCGCTCCAAAGGAGTAGGGACTGTGCCTGGTGTTCCACATCCCAGGCCCTCCCCCACAGACAGGCAAAGGAGGAAATGGGCAGGAATTTCTCCTCTGAGGCCTTCCTCAAATTCCCAAATTCCTACAGAAACGCAGAACCTTAAACCCCAAAGCTCTTCCCATGGGAGCAGGCTCATGTGGCCACACAGACACTTAAGGAACCTCCTGGAATAGGTTGAGTCACGGTAAGCACTGGGCAAGCCAGATGCCCCCGCAGACAGGCTCCTCCTGGGAGCTCCGTGAGCTGGACCACGTCCTGGGCCTTTGCTGGGAAGAATGTGAGTTGCACAACGAAGCCCTGCACACTGATAAGAGCCGGAGCTTGGAATGTGTGTGTGTGGTCGGCATTCCTGGAGTGGGGTGGGGACAAGGCCTAGCCACTCTCACTCCTGCAGCAATTTAAGAGCCCACAGACAAGACCACAGTGACGGGGCAGCACCTCCTGTGTCACCTACATCAGAGCAGGTGGAGACAGGAGGGGTCAACACTGGCTCATCTGAACCAGGAGCATGACTGTGCAGCTCACACACCCATTTTGTTGGGTTGACATGACAGTCCAGTGATGGAGACCTCGATTTTGCAGATGAACCAACTAAGGACCAGGGCAGTTGAGTCGGCTGTTGAAATTCACACAGTCAATGAGCCCAATTATAAACCTAATTCTGTCGTCACACTGAAGAATTCCTAAGGAACTCCATCAGGACTTGATGCTGCTGCACTGGCTCCAGCATAGGAGAGGCTGTTGTCAGAAACCCTGCGGGCACCACCAAGGCCTTCAGCAACCTCTTCCTGTTACCGGAAGGGTGGGCAGCTCCAGGGAGCAGCTGTGCCAGGCTTGCCAGGGTTCAGAAAGGGCTAACAGCCATGGGTATCACTTCAGAGGAGGCTGGAATCTCTTCCCCCAACCCTTTCATCAAACTCTGCATCTGAGATGCCAACTCAGAGCCACAGTCTAGACCAGGGACTCAACTCCAACACAGGGCATGTGGGCAAGTGTGGCAGCTGCTGGGTGCAAGTAAGTTACTAGGAACAAAGTCCTGAGAGGAAGGAGGGCAGCAGACACAGACCAGTGGATGTCCGTGCATGGGGGTCCTGAACGGAAGGGCAAGTGACGGTGTGGACATTCCCCAAGCACTGCTGGCCAGCAGGACGGGAAAGCCACCTGCTTAGCATGTGTCAGGGATGGCAGCAACAGACTCCTGGAATCTATTCCTGGGAAGGAGCCAAACTCCAACGACAGGTGTCCCTCAGACAGAGAAACCGGCCCTAAGTCTAGATTTGGGAATATGGGATCCTGGTTCCCTAGCCTCACTTAGGGACATGGCTTAGGGAGGAGATTGTGAACTGGGATGCAGTCCAAGTGTGGGCCACAGCACAGCAGCAAAGAAGGGCAGCCTACATGCCAGGCCCCTCTCCCAAGGCAAGGCTGGCTCTGCGAGCCTGGGGGACAGCACAGCGGTTCAGGTGCCCCGTGTGCCGAGTGGCAGAGGTCATGCCTTCTGGAGGCATCCTGGGTCTCACCGATGTGATTCCGGGTTCCACTAAGTTGTAAAGTCATGAAAGTGCCCACTCAGCTTTCCACACCCACAAACTCACCAGGCAGGGAAGGCTCTTCACCGATGTCACTGCTGACAGGCCGCTGCGTAGCCGAGCCTTCCCTCCTGCCCAAGTCCAAGGCCCTTTGACCCTCTGGATCGGAGATGCACACAGGCACCCTGGGAGCTCCTGGGCCCCCACCAGACCCCACACATTGCAGTTCCACAGTGACCACACACCAGAGGGAAACAAGTACAAATTTACTATCCAGCTAGTGGCAGTGAAGCAAAATTGCAGCCATGCATGATACAATGGAAGCAGTCAGGTTGTAGCGCTCAGCTTGAAACCTACACCTGTAGTGGGAGGAGGGTCCAGGGCCTCAGGGATCAGGGAGGTGGCACAAGGGAACAAGGTGGGCAGCTGAGAGTCCTTGTCTTTCCAAAAGAAGCAACTTCTAACTTCAGTGAACTTCTCTCTTCTAAAAATGCATACCGCAAGGGCCCCATCTTGGGAGTGTCTAAGAGTAGCCAGGCTTCCTCAAGAGGGACTGCTTTCCTGAAAACCCCATAGGAGGACCAGACCGTGCCAAGGGCTCAGCCCCGTTGTCAAGATGGAGAATGGCTGCCCCTTGCTGTGGGGCTGGACTGCCACTCCCCGGCCACAGAGGTGCCCAGTGACCAGCTCTGGCCCCTTCCTCACTGTGCATGCACGGCTGGACCCCTGAGCCGCAGAGCAAAGCTGAGCCTACAGGAGAAGGTGCTGCCCAGGGCCACTAGATGGCCGACTGCTCCTGCAGGAAGCCCTCGGGGCCCGGCATAACCTTCTCCGGCTCGGACGCCAGCGCCGCTTCTCGAAGGACCTCCAAGTGCTCCTCGGCGGCAGACAGCGACTGGTCAATCCAGTCCAGGCCTCCAGTCAGGTGGCAGGCGTTCCTGGTCACCAGCACCAGGTGACTGACAGAGAGCAGCAGGGCAGTGGTCCTGGAACAGGCACACAGGGTCATGTTCCCCTGGGAGATCAGGAGCTCTGCACAGAAGCCCGGCTGTGCAGTCCACTGGGGGCCCTCCCTGGGGAGCGGTGGTGTGCCACGTGGAGACCACGAGAGCAGGTGGGACAGGACAGACGGCAGCCTGCCTCCGGACTCATGCAGTCAACAGAGTTGCGGGTGAGGACAAGAAATGCTGTGTTCCCTAGCTGATTTCAAACTGCACTCCACAGCCGGCCTTGGAAGCCCCCCACCCAGGACATTGCTTTGGGAAACAGCCTGGAGCCAGGCCACTGGCTGGGCACAGCCCTAACCACTGCCCGCAATTCTGATGCCAAACAATTGAGACCTAGGGCTGCTTCATTGAACTAAAAAAAAAAAAGTTGAAAACTGAAAGTCAACACAAGAAGAGTTCTGTTCAGCCTGGAAAAAACATGGCCAGGTTGGAGTTCTGATGTGGCAGGTGGGAACACGTGGGAACACGTGACAGTGTGAACCCATGAACACCAGGCCCGGGACCCACCCGGCACACAGCAACCATGACCACCACATCTGTGCCATGGTCCCAGAAACCCAGCCAGGAAGTACAGGCTTTATGTTTTCACAGGTTTCCATCAGTCACGAACACCAACTCCATGTTCCATGAAGGCTTTTTCAGGGGAGCATCCTAAGAGAAGTGTTTCTGGGGGTGTCCGGGGAAGACAGCACAGCCGGGGTGCATCCATCTGTCCTCTCGGTTCTCGCTGCTCTGCTCCCCACGATGCCAAGGCCCTACTGGGTGGCATTCACAGCCACAGCGATGGCTTCTGGGGCCCAAGGAGCGGAGGAGGCAAGTTATGGGGGCAGGGAAGGCAGGTGGGACCGGGACAGCTGGACATCACTTCATGAGCACCCAAACCCCAAGGCAGGGTCTTCCCAAGGCCACAGTTCTGGGGAGCTGCGCAGGCCTCTCACATGGCCAGGCTTGGCCCACGGGGCCACTCACACCTGCTGGCAGAACCCAAAGCCCAGGGAAGCCCCCAGGAGCCAGCTAGACAGTCCAATGGGCCCAACTGAGCACCTGCTCCCCGGCCCACCCCCTCACCGTGCGTCCAGGAGCTTGGGATCCAGCGGCGGATACATGGACTTCACCACATCGTCCACCCTGAGGGGAGACAGAAGGCTCAGATCCTGCTTTCCCAGTCTCCTATGTTTCTCAGTCTCCTTTCCCTTTCCCCCAGCCCGGTCCTCGGGCCCCAGTCTTCGATGGTGCCCACCACAGAGATGCCAGGCTCGGGGCATGGTATATTCTGCTTGCTAGATTTGTTTCAGTCCCAGGGGATTCAAAAAGCAACCTCTGCATGGTGCTCAAGACTGCACCTGAGGGCCTGGCACAGTAGCCTAGCGGCTCAAGTCCTCATCTTGCTTGTGGTAGGATCCCATATAGGTGCCAGTTTATATCCCAGCTGCTCCACTTCCCTTCCAGCTCCCTGCCTGTAGCCTGGGAAAGCAATCAAGGACGGCCCAAAGCCTTGGGACCCTGCACCCATGTGAGAGACCCAAAAGAAGCTCCTGCTTTCAGATCAGTTCAACTTTGGCTATTGCAACCACTTGGGGAGTGAACCAATGGATGGAAGATCTGTCTCTTCTTTTCTCTGTAAATCTGACTTTCCAATAAGAATAAATATATTTCAAAATAATAATAAAAAGATTGCACTTAAGCCACAAAGGCAACCAGGCAAACCTGACACACAGCATGATGGATCCCACAGGCTGTAGAAGGCAGAGGGCAGGCATCTGGAGGGGCATGGACCATTTCACTGAGTATGTCTGGGCCTGGGAGGGGCAGAGGCAGAGTCCACCGCCCACATCACCTGTTCCTTCAGTGTTTCAAGTACCGTAAGCATTTACTCCTTTAAAGTGTAAGAAAAAATTTTGGAGCATGCCTAAAGGTAGTCATCTAGAGCATTAAAAAACACATAGCTCCAAGTTTAATTTGGATTCAAATGGAACTGGATTCAAATGGAACTGAATTTACCGAATGGTGACAGTACATGGTTATTCTTTTTTTTTTTTTTATCAAGTTCAGGAAGGTGCTAGAATTCATTCTGGTGTGTGGTACAAGGTGCTGCTCATGGGTCACTTGACAGAGAGGAAAATGAAGTGCATCGATTTGATTTCTAGAAGCGTTGGGACAAAGATGCCCTCTGATGTGTGCTTGGGGCTGAGGAGCTAGGGGAGGGGAGGCAGAGGTGGCGCCGCACTGCTGGGAGCTGAAACCGCTGTCCTTGAAATAATGTGCCGTCAACCCAGTGTGTGGAATAAATGGAGCAGGGAAAACAACGGGGGCGAGAAACGGCCAGGAGAAAGAAGGAAGAGGGCGAGAGGGCAAAGCAAGGACTCCACTATGGCAGGGAACCTTCTAGAAGTAGGACAGGTGTTCTGGGAAGAAGGGCCAGGGAGCACTGGGACAGGCTTACCCTGCCCTGAGTCCCACAGTGCATCCTGCTTGCCCTCAGAAATCTCAGAATCGGCCCTCTCCCCTCCCTGCCCTAAGACACTGCCTCATGACCTCAACCACAAGAACCTGCCTGGCTGCTGGGGTGGCCCAAGGCACAAGGAAGGAGCCAGTAGACCCGCAAGGCGACATCTCTGCCTGTAACCAGTAGGCAGGGATGGCGGGGTAGGGTGGGGGTTAATCCACAGCCTGGGAGGGGAGGTCTCCAGGTCAGAAGCCATCCTAGGCGGATAGAAACCAAGCAGCTGCAGCACCGGGCAATTCCAGAGAACTGCCCCAGCCCGGGTCTCCCTCCCACATTCTCCGTTCTCTGGGCAGAGTCCAAGTACATGGAGTCATCCATTCCCTCAAGGATCTCCCACATTTCTACTCGCCTGGTTTTCATCTTGCAGCAAAAGAAGGACTAGCTTCTCATGAGTTACTCAAGCTCAGAGTAACGAGCAAAGCAAGGACCCCCGACAGGCACAGGGGCTGCCACGCCAGGCCGGGGGCCCGGGGTGCACATCTGAGGACTCAGGCACAGCTGCGTGCCAGCCGCCAGGTGGCACCACATACTTACTCCAGCCCTCCTCTCTAAGAAAGGGGCTTTTTCTTCTGTTTGCAAAATCCAGCTCAAATGAGCGGGCGTGCTTGTTGACCGCAATCCTGCTGCCTGCCTCCCACACAGGATTCTGCAGATAGCCTGGAATCCTGGAGGTGTGACTGTTGCATGGCCTCACCTCCCACCCCATCCTGAAAGCCACTGGCAAGGCTGAGAAAGGGGAAGCAAGCAGCCAGAGCAGGTACCTAAAACTAAGTGTCCAAGGCAGAGGTGGGCATGGCCAGGTGGTCCCTGGAGCCAAGGTGTGTGGACACCAGCAGGAAAGGTGATTGCTGGCTCGGGCACAGGGAGGAAGCAGCCCCAGCTGGAATCTGCAGGAAAGAGCTTGGGTAGAACAGTAGTCAGGGCCAAGGACCAGTGCGAAGCTGGAAGAAGCTGCCCCAGGCCCCTCAGCAAGTGGGGGGGGGGGTGCACCCGCAAATGGGGTTGGGGGAGACCCTGAGAGTCTCAGCCACTAAACTTCCCTGTGGTGCCACAAATATCTGAGCCCTGAGTCCCACAAGTAAGAACCTGGCTTCGCCCACTCACCTGGGGCTGATCCGCTTGGCCACCACGATGATGTCGCTGACACTGGCTGAGGTCTTCATCTTGGCCCCTGAGCCCATCGTCATGGCAACAAGTTTCTCCGTCAGAGTGTGACAGATCTAAGGCAGAGAGGAAGAGGGAAGTTAGGAGGGTGTTCTGGCTCCTCCATCCCCCACAGACACAACTGTGGCCCCATCCTGGATCCCACAACATGCACTGAAGCAAGAAAAGATCACAGAAATGAGATGACGTGGGGTCAGGCCAAGGCCAGGCACGGGACTGGGCAGGAGGCAGGGGTCTGGCTCGGAGAGGCCCAAGCTGGAATAATCCGTCTAAGAGAAACCATGTGCTCTGGCTCCAGGGGTCACTTGGGGTGGGGGAGGAGCTGCTTTCTCCTAGCAGCGCTCATCTCCCGGGTCAGCCTCCCTGGGAGAGCACCCTGAGGACCCACCAGGGCTGCACCAAGGGCCACTGTTCCCCGTGGGTAGTGGCTCCCCTGCCTTGGGGATGTATCGGCACACGTGTCCAGATGAGGAAGGCAGGACCTCAGCAAGATGCGAGCAGGCAGACTCTGACACCCAACCTCTCACAGCACCCACACCCATGTGGCCGTTCCCCAAAGCCCTAGCCCCTCCATTTCCATGCCTCCCCCATGTCAGAGTCCACACACATGTCTTCCCTGCCAAGTAGTTACCCCTGCCTGCCTGCCTTGCCCCTGGGGCTGCAAAAACAAAGAATAAAAAAGCATAATATCCCATCCAGGATGAAGGTCCCACGAAGGGACTCGGGCACAGGTGACCAAACTAGAACATTCTGAGATCCAAAAGGAGGGGCGGACTCTCCTGGGATGTGAGGGATACAGGACTCTCTCCAGCTGCGGCATCTTCCACCTGCTCCAGCAGGTCAGGGCGGATGGCAAAATCTGGAGCAGGACACACCTGGTAGGAAGATGCCAGTCCCTGAGCCCCCCCATCTCCAGCCCACATATGCATGTCCAAGGAGCTGCTCAGAATGAATGAGGCAGCCTGGGTTTGGAGACAGCAATTTCCTGCTAGGCATTTCTCTGTTCCCCAAGAGATTGCCACAGAAGGGGCAGGAGAAAGGACTCCCTAATACCACCTCCTGAGGACACGGGAGACCTCGTTGTCTCATTTGCAATCTTGGCTAATTAAGCACAGAAATAAAAAAAAAAAGCTGTGCCTTTCCATGTTACTGAATTAGCTGATGAAATCTGCAACTGGTCAAATAGCTGATATTATTCTGTTAGGTAGGAGAGGAGAGGAGCAGCAATTAGAAAATAAATGCTGAGACTATAAAAATCTATCCCAAATGTAAAACACAATTTTTCAAAGACTGCAGATAACTTTTTAAAAACCTGCCTTCGTGGTGGAGTACTCATGGGCTGGAGATTTTTAAATGCTGATTATCCCAGGAGGCGAGCTTCGCTCACAGTCAAAGAGAGGGCAAGGAAGATGCAGTGATTGCTGGGGAAGGCCCAAGGCCCAGCTCAGCCCACCACACAGGCCTGAGCTTTCCATGAAGGAGCCACGTGCCCAGGGAAGGGCAGAAATCCTGCTCTGCCAGGCAGTAGCCCTAGGGCCTGGGCACTGGGCACACTCTGGGTGAAGCTGGAGAGGCCCGTCACAGTGAACCCCAAGGCTGCCTTTCCTGCCGGCCACTGTGATGGGAGGCCCAGAGGAAACCAAGCCCCAGGTCCGACAGACTGCACAGGTGCCTCAGGAATGCCAAGTGCTGAGGGGATGGGAAGAGAGCCTCCCGTGGGGGTTCGAGCCCCTCCGGGTCCCTTTCTATTCTGCCCATGCCGGGACGTTCTAGCGCCTTCCCCTCCTAGTTTGAGCTCACAGGCAGACCAGAAGATATTACCTTCAAGATGGCAATGCAGTGGGACATGAGCCCTCTGGGGAGACAAGAAGAGCATGTCAGTGCCAATGTAGAAGATACCCACCTCCCTCGGGTTGCCAGTCCTGACCCCCCACCTAGTGCCAAGCGGGGCACAGGTGGATACCACCTAACAGTAGTAAGACCTTGGTGCTAAAACACACTCTGAGCTCCACCAGGTGGTCCTTTCTCCTGCCACACCCACCCTCCTCCTGTGGCTGTGTGGCCCCCTAACTGGCAAGTGCAGTTTCTCAGAATGCAGAGCGTAAGAGTCACCTCTACCTGTGTATCACTCCATTAAAAACAGGCGGACAAAGACCCAAATCCAAGGCATCATGATTCCTTTGAGAAAACCCACCCTGACCTCCCTCCCTGTCCTAGGCAAACGAGGCTGCCTCCTCCATATGTCCCCTGCACTAGCACAGATGTCAGCCACAGAGCCTATGGCCCTACGATGAGTGTCATTTTGTCTACCCCATTAAGTCAACATGTACACAGCCTGGCTCAGCACCCTGCTCATGATGTCGCAGGAGCATGTGCCTGGTGACTGAGTGACTGCATAAAGGAAGTGGCCTCTGCTTCTCCAAAGATAAAGCCTCCAGGGGCATGGAGAGATCCCTGAGCCCCAAGTTCAGATTCATGGGCATCCCAAGGATAATCCAATCACAACAGGGTAACTTCATGACAGTCTATAGATCTTAGTGGGATGGTAGCAAGGGCGAAGGGCAAGCCCTGCCACGTCCTAGACTGCCATCTCCCCACGTGGTGCCCAAGAGAGCAGCAATTAGAGACACAGAGCCCCTGGCTGCCTAGCAGCACCCAGACATCCCACCTGCCACCCTGGGAGCCACAGCAAAGCCCAGGTTCCCCAAGGCCTTACGAGGCATCTTCGATCCAGTCTTCATTCTCCAGAATGGCCTCAATGTGGGGGTTGGTGATGACGACATCGTCCAGCTCCAACTCAGATGGCTCAGACTGGGTCTCCATGGCCCCGATCAGGTCCACGATGGGCCTGCAAGGAAAGACGCTGCTGGGGGACAACTGCCAGGTGACTGCTGCTGCCCTTGTCCACTCTCGGGCTTGTGCGCCCTCCAGAAGGGACAAAGTCGGTCAGTTACAGCAAAGACCATTTGTCCAGGATCCCAGCCCAGCTGAGGGTTGGGCAGATGGCAAACCGGGGAGCCAAGGAGGCAAGCCAAGGGCACAGGAGCAGAGGAACGGGGCAATGGACCAGACAGGTCACAGACACTGGAGAGGTCAGACAGACCGAGGCTTGGCTGCCTTGACCCATGCAAGGTTCTGCCACATAAATCATGCCTAAATAGAAAATAGGATTTTGCTAACAAGATACATCTCACATGAAATGTATCCTAAAGAACACTACACTAAATAGCTTCATGCTGGGACCGCACCACTGCTGCTGAGAAGGCAAGCAGAAGTGGCAGAAGGCAAGCATTGGACTCGTGTTGCCAAAGGTCTGGCTGGCCCCACACAGGGATGGAGGGCCTTGCCTCTGTATGAGGTGGACCTGTTCTAAAGGCACAGAAAGAGCTTTCTTGCTGATAGCATGGGGGGGAGGCGGGGGGAGTTGGAATCAGGGGCACGTGTGGGCCCTGAGGTCTTCACCGGGAAGGAGTCCTGGCAGGGGTCCAAGCTGTGGCTGCCCAGCAGTGAACCCCTCTTTCTGCGCAACCCCAGCCCTCCCCGCGCTGTCCACCGCCACTCACTTGGAATCATAGTGCTGCAGCAGGTCTCGTGGCCGGCAGTAGCGCTGCTTGCACACCACCACCAAAGCTGCAAAGGAGGCCAGGAAGATGGTGGCCAGCACGCCTATGGCAACAATCACCACGGTCTCCATGCTTCCCCAGGGCTCCGCTCACATCCTCCGTATGAGCCTAAAGCTTGACAGATCACAAGGCCAGAGCAGACCTGGTAAAGAAGCCACAAGAGAGTGTGGGGCCTGGGATCTGACAGAGGAGCTGGAGTCCCCCAAGTCAGAGACCTGGCCGCATGGTGAGGATTGAGGCGCATCGGATGCACGCCCCAAATCTGCCTTTGCTAATCACCACCCTTGAGGGGCAGCACTATGGCACAGCACGCTAAACCTCCGCCTGCAGCAACAGTATCCAGTTATCCTGCTGCAGCTCCCTGCTGATGACCTGGGAAAACAGCAGAAGGTAATCCTTGGATCCCTGCAGCCCCCTGGAGTGTGGGGCTCCTGGCTTCAAGATGACCGATCCCTGGTCACTGTGGCTACTTGGAAAGCAAATCAGCAGAAGCAAGACCCATCTTGGTCCTTCTATCTCTGTCACTCCAGGTTTCAGGCAAACAAAATCACTCAAAAATAACAACAAAACTCTCCATGTTTTTTGAGTAGATCTCACCCCCAATTTCCTCACCAGAAGGGTGCCCCAACTCGGGACCCAATCTGACCCCCAGGACGCCCCATCTCCTCTGCTCCTCTAATCTCAACTCTGGGTCACCGGGTCACCAGTGGGTGTCGTTGTCTGCTCTGCCCCCAGCACCTGGTTACTCTCTGGAGAACCTATGAGGAAGACACAGAACCCTGAGAGCTGGTGGGACAGGCAGATACAGAGAATAACCGCATTTGCCCAGCATTTTCTAGGTAAAACCTTTCTGAGGCTGGGTTTTGAAGGATGAATAGGAGTTTGCCAGTTACAGACTGGGACGTGGCTGGCTCCCTGTGCCAAGGAGACCTTTGGGCGGTGGGGGGACGGTTCCCACGAGGCCGCTCCCCCACCTGGAGCTCACTGGGGACAAAAGCTCCCGCATCTAGGTTTCTGTGCACACTGCTCCTTACCCTCCTCTCGAGTCTCAGCACTTTCCGTCCCCTTTGCTCTCTTCACGACTCGGGACCGAGCACGGGGGCGCCCAGGGCGAGCGCAGGCAGCCCCGCACCCCGCCGCGGGGCGGCTTCTTTGTGCGCCTCCCTCCCTGCAGGGAGTCTTTCCCGGTGCCGTTTGCCTGGGTCCCTCTCTTGCTCTCCTTCACCCCGATTCCTTACCCCAGCCCCTGTCCGGTTCCAACCCCAGGATCCGAACAGACCCAAGATCCTGTCCAGCCCCGAGCGCCGTCCTCCCCCACCCCCACCTCGCGCCTCCAAAACTTTGCCGCCCACCCGACGGGCTGGTGAGCGCCGGGCTGCAGCTGGGGTCTCCCCACTCCCCGTCCCGCACCCTCCGCCAGCGGCCCAGCCCGGCCCGACGGGCCCCCCGCCAGGCGCACCCACCTCCGGGCACGGCTCGGAGCGCACCCCGCGGCGCCCGCGATGGCGAAGTCCGGCCCGCGGGCGGCCCAGCGAGCGGGGCATGCCGGGAAGGAGGCAGCCCCGCGCCCTGAGGGGGCGCCGCCAAATCCCCGCCGCCGCCAGGCGCCGCCGTCCCCGCCAAGCCCCTGGCGGGAGCCCCGCCAGGCGGGGCGGGCAGGTGGAGGGAGGCGCGGGGGTCCCTGCCCTCTACCCATAGCAGGCTGCGCACCCCCAATAGACCCCACGGCGCTCCTGGCCACTGTGTACTGCTACAGACTTGCTGGGATGCCGGCTCTGCCTTGTACCAGCTGCAGACACTCTGCAGTCCCTCTTCCCCACACCTGGCTGTCTCTCTCTGTGAGGCAGGGTCGGAGTGGGATACCAGCCTCTGAGTGGTCTTGGGATTCAGTGACCTGATCAGTGCCTGGCCCGAGGCCATTAGTCCACCCAGGGGTCGTGAGCAGACCCAGACACAGCCTTCACAGCTGCCCAGCCACAGGCAAGAGGTGCAAAGTTGCAAGACCCTGGCAGGCAGCTCTGCTCCTGATGCCACATGACAAGACGCGCTGCCAGGGGGTGGGGGTGGGGGACTCAGTGGGATTCTCCCCGCCCAGTTCCCATCCTGCAGAGGTCCGTCCCTGGGTGATGGCATGGAGCAGCAGAGCCAGGGTGGGCCCTCTAAAGCATGGGACCCAGGGCGGGCAGTACAGGTGCCAAGCCACAGAGGAAGCAGCATGAGGCAGAGTTTGCAGACAGATAACTGGGTGCCCCCCAGGGCATTTGTTGGAGTCGTTTAAGATAAAACAGTTGACGGGAATATAGGCTCTCCAGCCCTGCCCAGAAATGCAGGTCATCTACCCAGAAAAACCTCATGGGCTATTGCAACCCTCTCCCCAACGCAGGACATAAAGCAGTTACAAATGGGCTTCTTTTACCTGTGCAGTGGGTGCAGGAGCCCCATGAGAGGAGGATCCAATGGGGCCCAGGTCAACTGGCTGGAGCCCTTGGCCCACCTGCAAGAACTGATCCTCCTCAGTGGAAAAGACAGAGTAGTGGACAGCTGGGCCAGATCCGCATGGAGGATTTGGTAGCCCATTCAGGCCTGCAGAAGACATCTGTACCATGCGAGAGGAAGGAGGGCAGAACATTGGACAACTACCCTAGCCAAAGGATGACAGCAAATATCTGGGCAAATGGAGACTGCAAAGTGGACTATGTCCAGTTGAAAGGGTTCCCTCATCCTTGGATCGGTGAGATCAATAACATTTCAGAACTATTGAAACTACCTGGGCAGAACCCTCAGAGAATGTGCCACATTGGGACCTTGGGATGATGTTGGATAGCCATTGCCCCATCCATGGGTGCTGGGACGGTTGGGAGGCTGGGTATGGCTTCTCCTCTGATCCCCCACCCCCCACCTCCCAGAAACAGGAAGAAGAAATAGAAAATTTGGAAACGATGATCACACCCACTTTTCTCTAACGCTTGATCCATCCCGCCCTGATCAACTATGTCAACTTCATAGCATCATCTTAAAACACACACATCCCGAAATGGGCTTCTTGGCTTGTGGTCCACACTCTCCCTTACTGGCATACAGCAAGTGTAACTGAAGGGACTGCGGTTTTAGCTACACCCCTCAGGTGGCAATTTGTGGGCACTTCCCTACCTGCTTCTTTGTGGTCCATCAGCCTAACACAGCTTGCCCATCTCTCGTGGCTTCTTGCCACCTGTGGCCTCATCCAGTCTCTTCCTGTGACAGTAACTGCCAGACCACATGTAGCCTTCACAAGGTCTTTTTTTCTGCTTGTGATTTTAAGAAATCCTTTCTGTTTGCAATATTTTTAAAAACTCAGGAGTTTTGCTTAAATTCTTGATTTCCAGCTTCTATGGGAAATTCAGGTTTCTGACAATACAGCCTACCCAGGGAGTTTGGAGAGGGTGGCCACTGTCCCAGGCTTGCCCTCTCTACTGCACCGCTTCCCAGCAGACCTCAAGGGCAACTGAGTTTCCCACCATTGGCATTCCAGGGAAAGAAAGCCAGGCTGCTCATGGTTTAATGGAGAAGTTATCGAGCAGAAACATCTAGGACCAGGAAAGTGTTGTGGTCAAGCAGCAGACGCTGCCCTGGGTGACTGGGGAGAGTTTCTGAACGTGCCTTGCGGTAACAACCTAAAGCACATGTTCTCTGTGGTTTCTTCCAGGTCTGAGTGTCTATGACTGCATAGGAAATGGGAAAGAAATCTTTTAGAACACAGGTGGAAAAGACCTACTGTGTGTCCCCCCAAACTCAGACAGAGAGCTGGTCATATACCTGCCAGTGGGTAACCCATCATCCAGCTGTTAGGGCTAGATGGTGCCATGGCTGTGACAGATGCCTTTGCTAGCCAGCTATCTCCCCACTTTGCTGGCAAGCCCTGTCCTTTCAGAGGCCCCTCAAGTCCCCCTGGACTGAGCTGAGACTTGCCATGATGTCTGCTCTCACCTGCAAGCGCCAGAAACCTATCACTTCTCCCCCGTGGAAAAGGCATTTGTTGAAAGGACATGGGATGCGGAAGACTACAGACCCAGCAGGCAGGCAGGCTCCAGGGGCTCAGTGTCACCACCCCCAGATGAATCTGGGTCTCCCTTCAACTTCCTGCTTGAATCCAGATTCCAGTCCTGGACAGAACCGCATGCCATCGGCCTCCATTGTAGCGGGTGTGGTACAGACAAGTACTGTGTCTTCATTGTGTCTGCTTGCAAAGCGGTTATCCCGGTTATGGAAGAGGGACACATGCGGCACTCCTCCCCAAAATTCAAACACCCCTATCAATGGTCTCCCCCACTAAGTCTGAATGGCAAACTATGTAACACAGGTCCCTCAACCAGAACCAAACCCAGTAACCTGAGAAGCAAGCAGGTTGGAAAATGTGGCTGATCATGGTTGGAAGAATAGAGGAGCAGCTCCTCGGTGGCAACAAGTTCATGTTCCACCCAGCAAGGAGTGAGCATTTATTGAACACCTACCGTGTACCACACAGGCTGGGCATCTGATGCGAATCCTTTCTTGTTATCCTCTCACCACACTTGGAACACCTCTAGGATTACCATGACAAGGGAGAAACAGCCCACGCTCTCTCACAGCTCCGTGGGGTAGGTCAGAGAGCGGGACTCGGAGCACCTTAGCCACCCAAGTCCCCAGCGCACACCTCAGCCTGCTTTCTGTTACTACTAAAACTGCAAAATAGGTACATTACAAAGAGAGGTTTCCTGGGCTCACAGGTCTGCCTGTGCTGACAGCCTCTTCCATCCAGATGGTCAGCCCCCCAGGTAGAGCAGACCTCCTCCTGCCCCGAACAAGAAACGCCTCTGGCGTTGTCCTTAGTTCCATAGCAGGGCAGGCATTTCTTAGCGGTTTGGTTCAGCTGCCGGTTAGGATGCTCACATCCACATTGAAATGCGTGGCTTCTGTACCAGCTGTGCTCCTGGCACCAGCTCCCCACGGAAGCAGACCCTGGGAGACGGCTGCAGTGGCGTATACGGTTGGAATTCCTTCCTCCACAGTGAAGACCTACACTGAATTCCCAGCCCCCAACCTGGCCTTGCACGCTCACACACAGACTTTTTAAATATTTGGAGTGAACCTGCGGATGGCAGTGGGCTGTCTTACACACTCCCTCTCTCTCCCTCTCGAATCAAGTGTAAAAGTAAGCCCTCCTGACTCCCCTCCTGGAGGCCAGCGGCTAGCAGAATGATGTCCACCACCCCCATAGGTAGGCAGCTGGCAGCAGAAAGCCTTCTGCCTGCCCTCCTCACTGCCTGAGTGGTCTGAGGCGGATCACTCCAATCAGCCTTGTCTGTAGAATGGAACAAGCAAGCTGTGGCCTCCACATGCGTTGAGGGTGAGATGGGATAGTCCAGCTCCAAGGTCAATCACATACAAGGTGGCACGGTGGTTCTCCGGGAGCGGAAGCTTATGCTGAGTGGGTGCAGAATTCCAGTGTGGAAGACTTAGCCAGTGCTGGAGATGGATTGTGGTGACTGTACGACAGAGTGAATGTCTCAATGCCAATGCCAGTGACTGCACGCTTAAAGATGGTCTGAGTGGGGAAGAGCATGTGACAAACATTTTGTCATAATGGTTTATTTAAAATATTTATTTTATTTTATCGGAAAAGCAGATTTACAGAGAGAAGAAGGGACAGAGAAAAAGAACCTCCATCCACTGATTCAGTCCCTAGGTGACCACAGCAGTTGGAACTGAGCCAATCCAAAGCCAGAAGCCAGGAGCTTCCTCCAGGCCTCCTACATGGATGCAGGGTCCCAGGGCTTTGGGCTGTCCTCTACTGCTTTCCCAGGCCACAAGCAGGGAGCTGGAAGGGAAGCAGAGCAGCCGGGACACAAATCGGAACCCATATGGGATCCTTGCACATGCAAGATAAGGATTTAGCCACTAGGCTACCATGCTGGCCCTGTCATGTTTTAAATATGTTTATCACAAAATGACAGAAAAGACAGTCTAATTGATGGGCTTCTAACTTCATCATGGTGAGTTGGCCCTTCCTCGGTGCCTTGCCTTGCCCTCTGGTGGAGTCCTGGCCCTTCCGACGCCCAGGGCTTCCTCTCTCTCTGTATTCCGATGCCTACCCCAGAGGCACCCCCATGGGAGGCTCTCCCTGCTCACCCTGCCTGAAGCAATGCCTCCCAAGGCAGGCATTTTCTGCCAGACAATTAAGATGCACGTGTCCCACACTGGAGTTGCTTGGGTTCTTAGCTCTGGCTTCTGACTCCGGCTTGTTACCCAAGCAGGTTCTGCTAGGTAGCAGGTGATAGCTCAGGTAGTTGTGTCCCTGCCACCTATGTGGGAGATCTACATTGCGTTCCTAGCTCCCATCATTGGCCCATGCCCAGCTCCAGCTACTGTGGACATTTGCAGAATGAACCAATGCATGGGAGTGTTCTATTGCTATCTGCCTCTCACATAAATAAAAACAATTTTAAATAAAAAGGAAGTAGTAATTCCCATCTTTCATGCTCCCCTGTGGATTTCCTAATGGCACGTGCCACTGTCTGAC